GGTTTTAAACAGGCCGACCACCATTTGATCCACAGGGATGCCTGAATAATGTAACCCCCAGAGCTCCAGAATCCTTCACATGTGCCAGAGATGCAGGTTATGTTTCGCCTCCAGCACTGTCTATGGCGAACGAACGATGATGGTGACATATCAACACGGAGCAACATAATCTATTAGGACACAGAGAGAATAGCAACCATGGTCTATAGGGGTGCTGGGAATATTTTCACCGACTGCCTACTAAACAACCTGAGAGGTGTGGGCAGCTAGGCAATATTCAGTGGTAGGAAATGACTAAAAAATAAAATATGATTTGAATTAAACATATAAAACATTATTAACCACTTGACCTCCAGAAGATTTTACCTCTTCATGACCAGCACATTTTTTTAAATGTTCTACTTTAACTGGCAATTGGATGGTCATGGAATGCTGTAACCAAATCAAATTTTATATAATTTTTGTCTGTTTACTCCTACAAAGTTGGAGTAAAAAATGTCAGCTCAGATTTCCCTTTACCTGTTTACATCCCACAGAGAGTCTGCCTGAAAACAACTCTCTGTGGTCTCTAATGATGTGAAATGGCCACAATGTTCATGGTGGCTGAAAACTTAGATTGCCTTAAGCTGGCTATACATGGATTAAAATTCAGCCAATTGAGCAGGTACCAGCTGAATTTTGATCCATCTATGGCCAGTCCAGTTTGAAAGGAGTTGGTCTAATGATCATCTATTCTTGAACGGGACAGCTTGTATGTTTTTGTTTGATCAGCACTTGCAGCCAATCAGCTGCAGCGCTGATCACTTTATTGTGACAGCAGAGAAGTCATCCATAGACACAGACAATGGGACACAGTCCCGCTTCCTCATCACAGAGTTTGATTGACAAACTTCCCTATGAGGAGGGAGAGCCGCCACTCCTATGCACAGCACTGGATCGCGATGGGGCTCTGGTAAGTATCGGGAGGGAGCTGGATAGAGAAGTGTTTTTTACCTTCGTGCATAGAATGCACGAAGGTAAAAAAAAGGCAGCTTTTAGAACCACTTTACATTGGCATGGTATAAGCCTCTTGCACACCTTGTACAGCACAGTTAAGGGAGGGAGAAGCAGCACAACGTGCCAAACAGGTGAGCTGCAGTGAAAAGGGTATGCTGATTGGAGAAAGAGCAGAGTGACATAGAGATGTGCGCATTAGTGAGCTGCTTCTCCATTCAAGTGTTCTTCACAGGATGAACCTGAGAAGGACACTTAAAAAAAAAAAAAAAGGCGAAACAAACTGCAACAGAGAAAGATCAGGTCCCCTCCCCTGCCAGGTAAAGCTGTGTAAATCTCAGGACTGGATGGGTAAACTTTAATTCCTTTTGGCAGGTAAACCACTGGGGTTGATTTACTACTGGAGAGTGCAAACTCTGGTGCAGCTGTGCATAGTAGCCAATCAGCTTCTAACTTCTGCTTGTTCATTGTTGTGATTGGTTTCTATGCAGAGCTGCACCAGATTTGGCACTTCCCAATTTTGGTCAGTCAACCCCAATGTATATTTACCTGTTTGCCCAGAGTTCAGTTTTAACTCCCTACACAAGTGCAATTGGCAAAGCAGATATGGTACATCCTAAAAATATCCTAAAAATAATATTTTCAGGAATGCATTAACACAACTCATTTGTTCCTACAGATAGAAAATATTTATTGTATTTCCTTTCACATCTTTTGAAATAGGCAAGCTTTCTGAGTTTATGCCAGCTGGAACAATTAGGCAAAGTGGTTGTAAATGGAAGTTTAGCTATGCACACGCTCGATGGTTGTAACCATCCTTCGAGCTGTCATCACCTACTGGCCCAGGCTCCGATAATATTGGATCCACCATGTTAAATGAAGTGACTTGACTGCATTGGTTCTAACGGATGATCTCCACAGAAGTTGCTGGTCTGTAATACATTTTCTTTATTGCATTAGCACAGGTGATTAAATGAGACAAAATTATCCTAATGCAATTTTTCTGCGCCCAGAACTTTCCATTACTTCCCTGGGTCACCGGTCTGTTATCTGTCTCAGTCCTATTGATCCAGCAGTTAGTTCTATTCAATTATTCAATCACAATCAATACATTCAGATGCATGAAATGTAAACGTATGCTTTCACCCTTTTATCAGTTTACGGTCTTGTTCTGCAGCAATAAGAAGCTTTGACATGGTGCTTAAATGTGCATATAATGAAAATGTATGGGAAAGGGATAAGTGATACAGTGATAGAACATACTGAAATGCCTTCCTGATCCTAGAGAGAGGCTATAGTACTGAGCAATGTCCCACAATGCTATTCAACCATTGCAAAGACAACATAAGCATAGTGTCCAACTTTCAGAGAAGAGACAGTTCCATATATATATATATATATATATATATATATTTATATATAAAAAAAACATAGTGGACCTGCCTGAACTCAATGTGAATATTTTCTATCCTATAGGAAACAAATAGAAAATGTAACTGTATCCTGAAATACTGATATTTGTCTTGAATTCCTCCGGAAAAATAGCAATACACTTCCTATGCCTAGGCACTCTTAGCTCTAGCATTCTTGTTCCATAGCCTCATACGGAGGCGTAGATTGAAGCTTGTAGGCCCCAATGCAAAAGTTGAACTGGTGCCCCCCACTACCACCGCACGCTAAGGTTCTCTCATTACACGCCAAGATACTTCAAGTGGCTAAAGAGATTTTTCAGATAATTTTTTACATATTGAGAGGGTAATTCAAAATATTTTGTAGAAACCATCCTAGTAATGACATAACGTCGCCCCTTCCCCCCATGCTAGTAATGACATGACCTTGCCCCTCCCCCCCAAATCCTGGTAATTATTATTATTATACAGTATTTATAAAGCGTCAATAGTTCGCTCAGCGCTGTACATTACAAAGGGGGACAGAACATGTGACAGAACAATACCAATACAATGCAAAACATGAGGGGATCGAGGGCCCTGCTCTTTTGAGCTTACAATCTAGGAGGGAGGGGATGGTGGTACAGGAGGAGATAGCTGTGGGCGATGGAGTGGTAGGAAGAGTGGAGGAGGTCGGCAGGTTAGCAGGGGGTGGAGTAGGCTTTCCTGAAGAGATGGGTTTTCAGGGTGCGCCTAAAGGAGAGGAGAGTAGGTGATAATCTGACGGGTTGGGGCAGGGAGTTCCAGATGATGTTTGACACCCTGGAGAAGTCCTGGAGGCGGGCATGGGAGGAGGAGACCAGGTAATAACATGACATGAACCCCCCTTCCCAGTAATGACATTACCTGGTTCCCCCTCCCCAATAATGACATGAACTGGACCACCTCCACCAATAATGGTATGACCTGGCCCCCTCTCCCCAGTAATGACATGACCTGGCTCCCCCGCCCCAATAATAACATAGAATCCTTGTTAGGTGAGTGAGCAGAGCAGTATTTTACCTCAGCTCAGTCAGCAGTCCCAGCTCTCAGGTGGTGCTCGCCTCCTGCCTCAGGACACTGCCATGCTTTTCCAGGCTGCTCTCAGTCCTCCACTCTGTTCAGGAAATGAGGGCACACGTGGCTTCACCCCAGCCAATGAGAACGGAGGGGTGTGGACTTAGGAGAAGGAAAACAACTGGAAGCTGATTACTGGATTAGAGAGCTTGGCTGGGGACCTAGGAGACACAAGGTGGATTGCAGCTGGACTCTAACTCCAGGATTTTGTGTGGGAAACGTAGCATGACAGCAGGGAGTGGAGCTGCAGGCCCCCTGGAGCTAGAGGCGGGGTCGCAATTGTGACCCCTACAACCCCTGATGCTACTCCTATGGCCTCATAGCTATATGCCTGCAGTTTAAAATCATCCAAGACACTCCTGCCTGACTGCTATTCTCATCATATTTGGGGTGAGATTTGGTGATGCCATTTTTGTGCTGTCAATATTCTCCTTGCTGGAGGAGAAACTGTACCTGCAGGACCTGGATACCTTAACTGCCATTGTGCTATTGCTGGATGTCCAGTGCGTCCTTATACCTTTAAGGAGTGGTAGGCTCCCTCCTGCCCTTAATCTATCCATTAGTATATAAATATATATGTGCTCCAACTCAGGAGACTCTTAACATTATAGAGGTTGGACTGCAGTACACTGGGGTACCACGGTGTGGCCACTGTAGCTTACACATATATTTGCAAATGCGTACAAACTAAAACCCTTGGTTTTAACATGAACTGTTTTACAGGGTCAATTAGGTTTGTTGCAAGCTGGCTGGTAAGAGAGCTGGGAATATGTGTTTAGAGCTTTTTAACATGTGTCGCTCTTCCATGTGCTCCTTGCTGCAAAGGCCAGTTATAGGTTGGGGTGGTTACCATTTGTTTATACTGTTGGTGAATTGGTGATGGGATGCACTGGATACCTTCACTGCCATTGTGCTATTGCTGGGTGTCCAGTGTATCCCTATGCCTCTAACCACTTGCCTACAGGACACTTATACCCCCTTCCTGCCCAGGCCAATTTTCAGCTTTCAGCGCTGTCACAATTTGAATGACAATTGCGTGGACATGCAACACTGTACCCATATGAAATTTTTAAAATTTTTTGAGACAGATAGAGATTTCTTTTGGTGGTATTTAATCATCTCTGTTTTTTTTTATTTTCTGCTAAACAAACCAAAAACAACTGAAATTTTTGAAAAAAAAAAATTTTTTTTCTTAGTTTCTAAATTTTGTAAATAAGTGATTTTTCTCCTTCACTGATATGCGCAAATAAGGCTGCAGTGATGGGCACTGATAGGCTGCACTGATGGGCACTGATAGGCGGCACTGATAGATACTGATGAGGAGGCACTGGTAGGTGACAATGATGGGCATTGACAGGCATCACTGATGGGCACTGAAAGGCAGCACTCATATATTGCACTGATAGGCGGCACTGACTGGCACTGATAGGCGGCATTGACTGGCACTGATAGGCGGCACTGACTGGCACTGTTAGGTGGCACTGACTGGCACTGTTAGGCGGCAGTGATAGGCAGTACTGATAGGCGGAAATGATGCGCACTGATAGGCAGCATTGACCGGCACTGAGAGGCGGCACTGACTGGCACTAATTGGCAACACTGATAGGTGGCACTGACAGGCACTGATAGGTGCACTGAAAGGCAGCTCAGATGGGCACTGATATGTGACATTGATGTGGCACTGATGGGCACTGGCAGGTGGCATTGATGGGCACTGACAGGTGGCATTGATGGACACTGACAGGTGGCACTGATGGGGCTACACTGATCATCAGGGAACACTGATCATCAGTGCCCTGATGATCAGTGTACATGTCCCCTCTGAGTAATGCCGTTTACTGGCTCTCCTCTCGAGCTGTCAGTGAGACAGCTCGTGAGGGGAGAAATGCTGAAAACCGGCATTTGCTTAATTACAGGTGATTAGCTGTGATTGGACACAGCTGATCACATGACAGAGCCAATGTCTTCGGCTATTTCCATTGATCAGTGATCCACTGTGTCCCAGGGACACAGCGCACCACTTATAGCCACTATGCGCACCCCCGAGGGTGTGCACGCACTGTTAGAGTGGGAGGACATCATATGATATCCTCCCAGAACGAGACAACTGCCTTGCACCCATCATTTCCTTAATGGCGGTTAAGGAGGGGTGGGCTCCCCCCAGCCATACCTGCCCTTAATTTATACATTATTATTATTATTGTGCTCCAACTTTAGAAACTCTCAAAAATTATAGAGTTAGGATGGCAGTACACTGGGGTACACTGGGGTGCCTTGACATGGCTACTGCAGCTTATATATGTATTTGGGGTGGTTGCCATTTGTTTCCACAGGAACCTGTCCCTACACTAGACAATCTGTTATTAACCAGTGAGGATTTTATCCCTAACCTGACCACAAAATGCATGCCAACCAAAGAGGGATAGTGCTATTTATCAGCACCACCTACACCATAGATGGTCAGCCAGGGCAGCAGTGTCCAATCTGACAGTTGCTCCCCTGATGACACCTACGGAGGCTTCAGAGGAACATGGGTTCCCCTTTTTCTCCGCTCTCCTTGCTTGGCAGCCGCCGAACATCGCCGCCCTTACAGAGAGATCAAATTCCATCTGGCTACAAACCAGAGGGAGAACTCTTAACTCCTCACTACAGTTTTAGGTCTTAGCATGAGCCACTACTGGGACTTAACGTCAGCTTAGGCATTTATCAAATGCAAGGGGTTAGCTCCACAGAAGTCATTAAGAAATCACCTACCTTGCCTGGCTACAGGCCCTTAAATTGAATCCTGGGACCAGAACCAGGCAGGTTGGTAGTACTAAAATAAGCTACTCCCTGCTCTTGAGGAAGAAACGGGGAAGAAAAACATTACAAGTTTTGTTCTCTTCCAATGAGCTGCCAAACTCCCCCTCCATCACAGAGGCACATGCTGGAGAGCAAAAAGATGGTGCCTGCCCCTTTAGCTGAGGTCAGTGTCAAAGCAATATAAATATATTTGGAAAATACTGTAAATGTGTACAAAGATCTATGTATGAAACCTAAACTTGGGTTGATTGTAGAGGTGAGAGGTGCAGTGAGATGTGAGTCTGCATAAAATGAACAATGGGGTTCTATCTGATAAATATTATTATACAGGATTTATATAGCACCAACGGTTTTCTCAGTACTTTACAATATAAAGGGAGACAATACAGCAACAATACAGTTCAATACAAGAGGGTTAGGAGGGCCCTACTCCTTGGAGCTTACAATCTAAGAGGGAGGGGCTGGTGGTACAAAAGATAATAACTGTGGGGGATGGACCGGTAGGAGGTATTGAAGATTGCATTATTAGCTGAAGGCAGGATAGACTTTCCTAGGTTATTATTAATGTAACTTTTAACAGGAAGCCAGTGCATTTTTGTGAGCACATTTTCGAATATTCAAATCTTTACTTCAACCTCATCATTGAGTTACCTTTCATATTTTTAAGCATTTGCTGCACTATATTTACTTTGCTGTATTTCATATACAGATACTTAGAGTCTTCTTCCAGTAGTTTACTACATTGCTCTAGCCAGCCTGAAAAACAACTCTACCTTATTTACTAAGCTTCATTCTTATGGGTGTTGACACCCGCTCTGTGTGCAAGCAGAACATGTCATTGCGCCTGCATCTACCCTGAGCTGTGCGCAAGCAGTCTATAGAGGTGGATGCAGCAGCTGCACAGACAGAACCGCATGTCAAAAATTGACACACATACAGAAGCACAAGCATGGATCTGAAGGCAGTGTGAGGTTGGATTCGTGAACCTGCTCCTGCACACTTGACAAATTTTGACATGTGGCTTTATTTGGCTGGATCGGTGCAGCCACTGCATTTGCATCCACCTCTACAGTCTGCTTACACACAAAATGGGTGTCAATTCCAATCCGAGCATTACAGTGGTTAGTATTTCTTCTTCTTAGCAGCACTAGGGTCCATGGTTTGAATCCCAACCATGGCACTATTTGGCTGGAGTTTGCATGTTCTCCCTGTGCCTGTGTAGGTTTCCTTCCACAGTCCAATGACATGCTGATAGGTTATTCGACTCTGGTCTAAATTGGCTCTAGTATGTGTATGTATGAATGTGAGTTAGGGACCTTAGATTGTAAGCTCCTTGAGGGCAGGGACTGATGTGAATGTACAATATATATGTAAAGTGGTGGTGCCATATAAGTACCTGTAACAAACAGATAATAAATCTGAATGAAGCCGTAATCAAAATACAAGTTCAACTCCTACAATTACTCCTAACTGAACGTCCCACTAATGCTTTGCCATAGAATTAAAAAATGCAACGCCTCTCCCCAGAAACTCACAGAAGGAAATTTACTAAAACTGGAGCACTCAGAATCTGGTTCAGCTGTGCATGGTAGCCAATCAGCTTCTAACTTCAGCTTGTTCAATTAAGCTTTAAACAATTAAACCTGAAAGCTGATTGGTTTCTATGCAGAGCTGCACCAGATATTGCACTCTCCAGTTTTAGTAAATACGCCTCACACTAACAATACAAAGCCACAAATTAATTTGTACTAAAATTGAATTGGTCGGATACTATGCTTTGTATTAATAAAAAACCCATGACAAAAAATAAATAAAAATTATTTTAAAAAAAATTATATATATATATATATTTATATATATATATATATATATATATATATATATATTTGGAATTCACTGAAAACATAAAGTTGCTAGGAACTCTACATGTTTTTGAATAAATGAAGGTTATACAATATATAAAGTATATACTGTATATACACCCAGGTTCCTCATCTGATTATGAGTGCAGAGACCATCACCCTTAGTGTAAATACATAGAAGCAATGGTTTTAAAACATAAGCAAACCGCATAAAAATGAATACTATAAAACACATCCCTTTTATCCATGTAGCTAACAAAAAAAATGGGAATAAGGCAGTTTCTCTTTAAGGAGTCTCCGTAGAAATCAATTCATATATGCAAACACAGATGGTACAAGAGATGGGCTAAAAGTGCTCGGCATAATGTCATCATATTTTTATATAAAACACCAAAACTGCCACCACTTAACTGAAAGCCATAATGAAAGCATAAAACTGATCATTATTTACATCGGGCCGGAGAAGAGGATGCCTTGAAATGCCACAAATGCTACAGCCTGTTTATAATTAGAAAACCTATGATTCTATCACTATATCCAAGTATGAAAATTACTAATTACCAACACAGACAATATGATGGAGTGCCGAGCACAGGAAGTCTCAGCATTGCAAATTGATTGAGGCAAATGAGAGTTTGTCTGTTACTTAATTACCTTAAGAAAAAGGAGCGAGTACACATTTCAAATAGGCAACACAAACAGGCGAACATTATCCTGTAAGACATGTTTTTTCTGGGAGAGTAGAAATGTGATGGTATGTATACAGTACATATAAGATATGTTAGTATTTGACATCATATATAGTAGAGTTGTGTCTAGCAACTTTAATAAAATATTTTTTTCTAAATGTGATTTCTTGTTCTAATAATTTATCTGTAAAAAAGCTACATTTAAAACGTACCTCTACTGTTACAATACAAGTTGCTTAAATATAAAGCACCACCAAACAATATAATTATTGTCTGCACTCTTTCTGGCTCTCTCTCCCATCCTCCCACTCTCTATATCACCTTTCTTTCTCATTTTCTTTCTTTCTTTCTTTCTTTCTTTCTTTCTTTCTTTCTTTCTTTCTTTCTTTCTTTCTTTCTTTCTTTCTTTCTTTCTTTCTTTCTTTCTTTCTTTCTTTCTCTTTTCTCTTTCTTTTTCTTTCTTTCTTTCTCTTTTCTCTCTTTCTGCCAACTCCTATCCTCCATCTATCTACCTCCTCCCCCCTTCCCTCTGTAGGAATTAGGTCAGGGATTAGGTTAGGTTAGTATTACGGTTGGGGGTTAGAAGGAATACTTTACGTTTTAGGGATAGGATATGGTTTTTAATGGCTAAGTTTTATTCTTAAAAGTAAAAGTGGTTGTAAAACTCAGACATGAAATCTGAACAAAACACATATTTGTATAGTGTTTATTTGCCTCCCTGCAAAGCAAAACGGCAAAGTGTAATTTCTCTATGTTGTCTAGATCCTCTGTTACATGCAAGAGTCACTTTTGACAAGTTTTCCTGACAACAAGAGCTGCAAAGGTGACAGGGGAGGGAGTTCCAGCACATAGCCTGTGATTGACAGCCTCAGCTCTGTTCCTGTGTGCTGCGTGAAGGGGTGGGTCCCTTCCCTCCAATCAGCTGTCAGAGCTCTCATACAGAGTGTAACTGCAGCTCCCCACCCCCTTCTTTGTGAGTCTGTGAAAAATTAATTTTCATCTCTGAGATTGAAAAGGTGTTCAAAGGAAAGATAAACAGGTAAAACTTGGGCAAGAGGATTTGCTTCACCTCTGTGTATCAGTGAAACAAATTTGCACAGAAATCTTATGTAGATGTTTTTTGGCTTAAAGATTACTATTATTATTGTCATTATTATTAATATTATTTCTATTTTGATTATTTTGTTCTTGATCAAATATCTTGATCTATATATTTTTTATATACTTTTTTTATAATCTTACAACATATTTTACGTTGAGATTACCTATTTGTATTTTTGCTTTTACATATTTGATATTATGTTCTCTTTTTTTCATATATCTGTTTTTTTGTATATTTTTCATACTTGTTCTATAGCCCTGAAGAAGGGAGAGTCCTTTCTCCAGAAATGCGTTGGCTTGGTGTACTTTTCAATACTCTTAACTAGAGATGAGCGAATCGAACTTGGCGAAGTGGAATTCGTTTCGAATATTAGGAAAAATTTGATTCGCATCGAATCCGAATTTTAGCAAACTTCGGATGCACGAATCGAATTTTTCCCGATCAGCCGGCAAAAGTGTCACTGCAGAGAGCTCCGCTATTTCTGACAGTTCTCTGACAGTTCATTTACAGCGGTTGAAACATTGTATCTATTTGTTTCCATTTAGGATACAGATGTTTTTATTCGGAAATAAATAGATACAATGTTTCAACCGCTGTAAATGTGAAGGAACTGTCAGAGAACTGTCAGAAATAGCGGAGCTCTCTGCAGATACACTTTTTGCTGTACTGGAATTCTTCTTCTTTTCATTCTTCTTCTTTTTTCATTCTTCTTCTTCTTCTTTTCATTCTTCTTTTTCATTTCTTCTTCTTCTTCTTTTCATTCTTTCTTCTTCTTTTCATTCTTCTTTTCATTCTTCTTCTTCTTCTTTTCATTCTTCTTCTTCTTCTTTTCATTCTTCTTTTCATTCTTCTTCTTCTTCTTTTCATTCTTCTTCTTCTTCTTTTCATTCTTCTTTTCATTCTTCTTCTTCTTCTTTTCATTCTTCTTCTTCTTCTTTTCATTCTTCTTTTCATTCTTCTTTTTCTTCTTTTCATTCTTCTTCTTTTCATTCTTCTTTTCATTCTTCTCATTCTTCTTTTAATTCTTCTTTTCATTCTTCTTCTCATTCTTCTTTTCATTCTTCTTCTTCTTCTTTTCATTCTTCTTCCTCTTCTTTTCATTCTTCTTTTTTCTTCTTCTTTTCATTCTTCTTCTTTTCTTCTTCTTCTTTTCATTCTTCTTTTCATTCTTCTTTTCATTCTTCTTCTTCTTCTTTTCATTCTTCTTCTTCTTCTTCTTCTTCTTCTTTTTCATTCTTCTTCTTCTTCTTTTCATTCTTCTTCTTCTTCTTCTTCTTCTTTTCTTTTCATTCTTTTCTTCTTCTTTTCTTTTTCATTCTTCTTCTTTTCATTCTTCTTTTCTTCTTTTCATTCTTCTCATTCTTCTTTTCATTCTTCTTTTCATTCTTCTTCTTCTTCTTTTCTTCTTCTTCATTCTTCTTCTTTTCATTCCTCTTCTTCTTTTCATTCTTCTTCTTCTTCTTTTCATTCTTCTTTTCATTCTTCTTCTTCTTCTTCTTTTTTCTTCTTCTTCTTCTTCTTCTTCTTTTCATTCTTCTTCTTTTTTCATTCTTTTCTTATTCTTCATTTCTTTTCTTTCTTCTTTCTTTTCATTCTTCTTTCTTCTTCTTCTTCTTCTTCTTTTCATTCTTCTTCTTCTTTTTTTCTTCTTCTTCTTCTTCTTTTCATTCTTCTTCTTCTTTTTCTTCATTCTTCTTTTCATTCTTCTTCTTCTTCTTTTCATTCTTCTTTTCTTCTTTTCTTCTTCTTTTCATTCTTCTTCATTCTTCTTTTCATTCTTCTTTTCATTCTTCTTCTTCTTCTTTTCATTCTTCTTCTTTTCTTTTCATTCTTCTTCTTCTTTTCATTCTTCTTCTTCTTCTTTTCATTCTTCTTTTCATTCTTCTTCTTCTTCTTCTTTTCATTCTTCTTCTTCTTCTTTTCATTCTTCTTTTCATTCTTCTCTTCTTCTTTTCATTCTTCTTTTCATTCTTCTTCATTCTTCTTTTCATTCTTCTTTTCATTCTTCTTTTCATTCTTCTTCTTCTTCTTTTCTTTTCATTCTTCTTCTTCTTTTCATTCTTCTTCTTTTCATTCTTCTTCTTCTTCTTTTCATTCTTCTTCTTCTTTTCATTCTTCTTCTTCTTCTTTTCATTCTTCTTCTTCTTCTTTTTCATTCTTCTTTTCATTCTTCTTCTTTTCATTCTTCTTCTTCTTCTTTTCATTCTTCTTTTCATTCTTCTTCTTCTTCTTTTCATTCTTCTTCTTTTCATTCTTCTTTTCATTCTTCTTCTTCTTCTTTTCATTCTTCTTCTTCTTCTTTTCATTCTTCTTTTCATTCTTCTTCTTCTTCTTCGTCGTGCCCCGTGACTGCCCAAATGAGTGAAGTGTGCGGTGATTCTAAGATCGACGGCACTCATCTGCATGTCATACTGACTGACAGTATTATTTCTCTTCCCCAGCAGACTCCAAGGGCATTTAAATTAAAGGTACAGTGTTCTGCACTAATATAAAGGCTCTCTGAAGCCTAGAAACCCTTTTAATAAGTTAAATTCGTGGCGAATAAATTTGCATCGAATCAAATTTCTCCCGCAAATTCGGCGAATCAGCCGAATCGAATTTTTGAATAATTCGCTCATCTCTACTCTTAACAAATGCCTCTTAATCTACCATCAAACTTGCATTCTTTTGGACATTGGATGCTCCTTATTTCCTATTATTCCAAGTCTCTGTGTATCAGGTAACTGTTTACAACCACTTTAAAGTTTTACTAAACCCACAACAGTAAAATCAGTCTGTATATGCAGTAAAGCATGCTTGTTATACTCACTGTGGAACCTAAGAAGTTAATCCTCTGCATTGTGTAAAAAGGCCACTTGATCCTGTCTTCTCTGCTCCTCCTCTTGATCAAATGTCCACATCTTATCTTATGATAAGACAGACTGAACCCGTAGCCATTCTGCACATGCTCAGTTTAATGTGTATTGCTAGAGAGTTTTTTTTTTCTTGGGAGACTGCATGTGATCAGCACAGGACCAATACCGGAGCAGAATGAAAACTCCTCCTACAATCTTTAACCAGTGCTCTGCTGGACACTGATAGAAGTCACAATACTATATATACTATATACTGCAGATAAGAAAAGGTATTTAGCAGTTTATATCTACTAAAATGATTGCACTTCCATGTTCTTTGTACTGTGGGAGGCCAGATATAGTGAATGCAGGGTCCGGGGTTTAGTGACATATTAAGGATTAATATAATTAATTAATTTAGGAAGGTTAGGTTAAGTGTTAGAAATAGGCTAATAGGTGGTAAAGGTTAAGATTTTGAAGCTAAACTACAGGCAGATATAAAAAAAACATATCAATCCATCCTTAAATGTATTTTTAAATGCAAGCTTTGTATATACCTACATTTAACTTGATATCGGCTTCTTGCAATCCCTCTATAGCAGAGCTCAGACTTTAAGACGGATAAAAGCAGTATGAGCAGCCAGCCCGTTTTGCTGAAGAATGACAGAGATGAGATTATCTGCTTCTTCTTCTTTTATTGTCCAGTCACAGGCTGGAGGATGGATAAAACCTGTGAGTGCTACTTAACTGCAGGAGAGAAATATCAGGTCTCCTCCCTGCATTACAGAGCTGTGCTGTGTGGTGGAGCTGTGCAAAGTGGATGGATAAAATTGGAAATATGTTTGCATGCTAAAGAGCTCCAATATTGTATTTCATATGTGTATTTAGTTTTGTGTGGATTTTGGCTTTAAAGTGGTTCTATAGGCTGAAGGTTTTTTTTTACCTTAAAGCGGAGTTCAACCCAAAAGTGGAAGCTCCGCTTTTCTGCCTCCTCCCCCCCTCCACTGGTTTTGACAGGTACCCTGCTCCTGCCGCAGCAAACTGTGCCAGAAGTCAGGCCCCGCTGCAGACCTTTGGGACACTTCCAAAGTCCCAGAGCATTGTGGCCCATTCACAATGCACAGTAGGGAATTGGCGGTGAAGCCGCAAGGCCCCCTGCAGATTAATGCCGTAATGTGCTAGTATGCACCACATACAGGGGCGGACTGACAACTCATGGGGCCCCTGGGCAATAGGGGTTCATGGGGCCCCTATGTCCTCGCCCACACTTAAAAAAAGCCTATAAAAAGGTACCAGGGGATTTCATGGGGCCCCCTACTGACCCTGGGCCCTCGGGCACTGCCCGAGTGCTCGAATGGTCAGTCCGCCCCTGACCACATACAAGCAATTATAAAGAGTTGTTTCCATCTTCGCCTGTTCTTCCTTCCCAGTTCACTCTATCCAACTATGTGAATGGCTGGGCTGCAATGATGTCACTCCTGCACATGCTCACAGGAGTCACTATAGCGGCACGGTGCTCTCTGCATCCACGGCACACTCAGTGTTCTGTGCATGCAGAAAATACTACACATGTGCCAATTACGTCAGCAGCTTAAGCCAATGACACTATCGACTAATAGACTTTTTATAGTCATAACTGCACTGTAAAGTAAAATGTTTCACTTTAATACCACTGTATGTGATTGGTAAGAGGTAAGGTGTTGAGAGATTATTTCTTGGAATTGTTAAGTCTTAAGATTTAGATAGGGGTTTAGGTGACATGGGGTGCTTTAATGTTTGGGACATCTTTAAGTTTTTGGATACAGAGGGGAGTTTTGTGATTTGCACTGAAATCCCGACTCTGAGAAATAATTGCCTTTATATACGTAGGTTTAAAATTGATACTGTAAGGCAATGTCAGTAAAATGATCATCTTTGTAGATATTATTACTCTTCTTAGCTGTTCAATTTTTGGTACTTACCAAAGATGAGCTCTGGACATATGGAATATACAGTACAGTAGTGTCAATGCATGCATGCTGTAGACAAATCTAGATAGCTAAAGACAGCTGTGTTTACAGATCCCCAAGGCAGCAAGCCAAATACAAGTAGTGGGTAATGCATACACTGTCTATAAGAAACTGTCTTAGGATAGCAGAGCTGTCATGAAGTTGATATTACCCATTAAACTGGCTGATGGCTATACATACAGTTTTTTTATACGGGCAATTTAATGTCTTCATAACACATCTGTTCAATGTACATCCAGTGGTAGCAATACACTACAGGAAAAAATAATTGTTCAGCTTGGCTAAACATTTTTGTTTAATTCTCCATTTATCCACACCACATCACAAAAGGGTAAACCGTATTTATCTGTTCATTGGCTATTTATAACAGGAAAATACTGTGGATATATACTCACCCACCACTTTATTAGGTACACCTTGCTAGTACTGGGCTGGACCCTTTCACCTTCAGAACTGTCTTAAAGTGGAGTTCCACCCAAAAGGGGAAGTTCCACATTAAAGATTGGTCCCCCGCTTCCCATTAAGGTTTGGCACCTTTGGGGAACGGGTACCCGAATTGGACGGATACCCGAATTGGACAGGTACCCACTCCCACTTCCGCTGTGATCGCCTAGGCGATCGGAATCAGAAGTTGTCCTCCTACCCTCCCTTCCCATAGTCTTGTGGGACACGTGACAGGTCCTAGAAGAAGACGACGGGGCCATTCAGGAACCGCAGCGCTACTCGCACATGCACAGTGGGCACCCGGCTGCGAAGCCGCAAGCTGTCACAGTCGGGTGCCCACACTGAAGATGCCGGCGCCTGGAATACAGGACGGCTGGTGAAACGGGCTGCGTCGGGGGCACCGTGGGATCGTGGGACAGGTGAGTGGCTCTTTTTTAAAAGTCAGCAGCTACAGTTTTTGAAGCTGCTGACTTTTATTTGTTTACAGAGTGAGTGGAACTCCGTTTTAATTCTTCGTGGCATAGATTTAACAAGGTGTTGGAAATATTCCTCAGAGATTTTGGTCCATTTTGACGAGTTACTGTTGCCTTTCGATCATCTCGAACCAGTCTGCCCATTCTCCTCTGACCTTTGACATCAACAAGGCATTTTCTTCCACACAACTGCTGCTCACTGTTTATTTTCTCTTTTTCGGACCATTCTCTGTAAATCCTAAAGAAGATTGTGCGTAAGAATCCCAGTAGATCAGCAGTTTTTGAAATACTCAGACCAGCCCGTTTGGCTCTAACAACCATGCCATGTTCAAAGTCACTTAATTCCCCTTTCTTCCCCATTCTGATGCTCAGTTTGAACTTCAGCAAGTTGTCTTCACCACATCTAGATGCCTAAATGCATTGAGTTGCTGCCATGTGATTGGCTGATTAGCAATTTGTGTTACCAAGCAATTGAACAGGTGTACCTAATACAGTGGCCGGTGACTGTATACTGATCAGCCATAACATTATTACAACTGACAGGTGAAGTGAAAAACATTAATTATCTTATGATAATGGCATCTGAAAGTGGTTGGGATATATTATTGTGGTAATGTGCACGTTGCTGTATCAGATGCTACATGTATTGCGGTGTCATTCATTTTGAATGGCACCCTAATGCACCAAGGCAATTTGATATAGTGTATTGTGTTACAAATTTTGTGACACATCTGATTTACAGGACACTTTGGTATGTGGGCAGTCCATTATTTTCAATGGTCTTCTTTAACACAATGTACAGTAATCCAGCGACATAACTAGCGGTAGAGCATCCCAAAAATTTAAATGGATCTTAAATATACAGGACTTGGAAAAAAATATGGAAACACTACATGATTTGCAGGTGTGAAAGTGACAACATGTTTTGAGTTGAAAGTGGAGTGTAACATTCTTTTGCTTCCTCTGTGTGATGAGACACCTAGCTAATGAGTGGGAAACCTCACTTTTGTCATTTACTGCATGTGCTGCTAGTAATACGGAGTCCTGTCAGAGCTTACTGAGCTTCAAAGAGGGCAAATTGTTGGTGGCCGCTTAGCTGGTGCCTCTGTAACCAAAGTTGCCAGTCCATTTGTGGTGTTATGAGCTATAGTGTCAAAGATTATGATGGAATATACAGTTTCCAGAAAAATGTCGTCTGAAAAGCATAAGTACCGTCAACATGATCAACTGACCCGAGAGACAAAAGTACATGTGACCCAGATTGTGACCCAGAATAATAAGAAAACAACTGCTACAAAAGTGACTGCAGAGCTCAATCTCAGTCTTCCAAAGCCCGTGTCCATGAAAACTTTGCAGAGGAAACTGCATAAGCAAAACATTCGACCGGCGAGCTGCAACTGCCAAACCCCTAGTGACTGATATTAATGCTTAGAAGAGAGAGTGGTGCAACACTCAGAAATCGTGGGTTATCGATAAATGGAAAACTGTAATATGGTTAGATGAATTGAGCTTCACACTATTCCCAACCACCAAACGTGTTTTTGTGTGGCAAACACCGTCCCAAGGACCAGAACTGTCTTGTGCCAATGGTAAAGCATGATGGTGAACAATCATGGTTTGGGCAGCCATATCTTGGTATTCTGCAGGCCCCATCATAATCTTGAATGGGAGAGTCACTACCAGTGACTGTGTACAAATTTTGGCTGACCGTGTACACCACATGGTGCAGACTTTGTTTCCTGAAGACAGCGTCATTTACTAAGACAATGATGCTTTGATTCACACAGCTGCTGTTGCCAAATTGTGGTTTATTGAGCACACAAATGAAGTCTTGCACACTGGGCCCCACGGTTGCCAGACCTCAATGTCGTAGAGCCACTATGGTCAATTTTGGAGAACAAGGTTCAGGCTTGTTTTCCGCCTCTAGCATCTCTGCGAGAACTGGAACAATTTATTCATTAAGAGTGGTATTAAATTCCATTATCCACAACTTACATTTGTCAATTCTCAGGGGAATTCAGGCCGTCTTATTTATTTGAGGTACTTATATAGCGCTGTCAATTTACGCAGTGCTTTACACATATATTTTGAACATTCACATCAGTCCCTAACCCTCAAGGGGTGTACAATCTAAGGTCCCTAACTCACATTCATACATACACATACTAGGGACAATTTAGACAGGATCCAATTAACCTACCAGCATGTCTTTGGAGTGTGGGAGGAAACCAGAGCACCCGGAGAAAACCCACACAAGCACAGGGAGAACATGCAAACTCCATGCAGGAGGCGCCATGGTCAGGAAGTGAACCCATGACCCATTTACTGCAAGGCAAACGTGCTAACCACTAAGCCACTGTGCCAAAGGCGGTCTAACATTATATGAGGTAACAATTAAGTTATTTTATATGGTGTTTCCATAATTTTTTCCAACCCCTGTGCATTTTTGGGGGAGTAAAAAGGCTAAAAGTAATCATGATAATCTATATCTGCTACAAATCAACTAAGTCAATTACTTACAAAGATGAAGCATGCAGGGTCACAAAAGACCAATTTTGTATAGTGTCATTTCAGTGCCTGCTAAATAACCATCAGCTGTAAAAATCAATGTCAGCGCTGAAAGAAAAAAAAAACAACTGGTGAAAAGTAATTATTCATAAGTTTAAGAGTGTTTTTGTTATTGATAATTTTGTGGTCTGTCTCGAGTGAGCAGGCTGCAATCTTTAAACAGCTCTCGCTCGCTGGAAGCCTCAGCCATTCCATCCATTTTCCCTGAAGATTTATTTATTAAGGGCTGCCTGTCCACATGTGTGTCTGGAGGTCTGACTCATGACCTCTGTTGTGTTAGCCTTTCCCTTCTGAAAAGTCTAACCCGGCCTTCCCGAGTTACTATTATTCAATGGTTAATAGATCTGACCTGTGCAGTCTATAATATAATTTTACCGCTTTATCTCCACCTGCTAAATTTGTCATCCCAGTCATTTTGTGGCACAAAGTTTGCGCTGTCTTGAAATGCAAACAGTGAAACAACTTAGTTTAGAAAAATTCTATTTGTCTAACGCTGTTGAACACCCATCCAATTTTAGCTGAGACAGTTCATCCAGCTTGTTATAAGGAAAGAACGAAAGATTTTTCTATTACTAACACATCATGCAAGAACACCGCCTGCCTGAGCAACAGCCAAGTAATGTGGGGTAACAAGTAGCTCCTGCAATATTTGATTGCTCGGGCTATTGTCATTTTCATAGTGACTTACATTCTATTGATTATCTTTCCAAGTAATATCAAGTAAGTGTACTCCATATTCATTTATGCCCTCCTCTGTCCTTCTGCAAGGGATATCTCTGTTTTAGGTAGAACTAATGGTAAATGCTCCAGTGTGAACAATATAGCTAATTATTGCTACTTATACAGAAGAAAGTTTTGAAGACTATGGTATTTAAAGATAGCAGATATGGAAATTTTATGAAAACTAGCCAAAATACTTATTTGTTGGCAATATACCTTGCCTGCGTTGCAGACTCTTACTTACTTCTCTGTTTGACAAATAATGGTATGCCTGTTTTGGCCTTTG